CTGTTAAGATCGATTTCCTGAAGATCAATAACCCTGCTTCGATATAGTACGCCTCGGCGATTAAAGAGATTTTCTTGAAGCAGAACGGAATGGTAGTAACCGACTCCAAGGCTAAGGCGGAAGTGCTCGCCAAGGACCATGCTGCCAACTATTGGGTGCAGTAAATTTAAAGGGTTTCCTACATCTTCAGACAAGCAGTAAGACTTGAGGGGGGGACGACACGCAACTATGGAGTAAACTTATCCAGTCATATTTCGAGTCTCATGCCGTCGCTGTTGATATCCTCAAAGCCCTCGGTCAGCTGTGGCATGCTGCCCTCTTGAGCCCAGAGATGGGTGGCCGACTTCCTCTCCGGTAGCAAGATATCCGTAGTAATTGACGATTTCTCATCTTAGTCCCACAGGGTTAAAACGGGTCTTCCCCAAGGATCCGTCTTGGTTCCATCATTGTTTGTACTGCATGTCAACGACCTCTTCTCGTGTACCGTCAATCCAATCCACAGCTTTGCTGATGACAGCGCTCTACATGCAGGAGTTCAGGGTGACAAGCAGATCTCTTCTGGTGAGCTGGAGAAAAGAAGACTAGCAGCGACATCCTCTCTGACGAGAGTCCTGGAGGAGGATTTTATCACTGCTTGGGGACGCAACAATCTGGTACAGTTTATTCTTCTCAAAAGCAGTGTTGCGCCTTGACGAACAAGAGGTGTCTGGCTTCGATGGATGGCCGAGTTCTACCAAAGAGCCGTATATTTTAGGTAGTCGGAACCCAGATCACGAAGGACACAGTCTGGCATGCACACATCTCGTCACATTTGCTGATTACGTTACTCTACATGCAGGAATTAAAAGTGAAAAGACGATTTCTGCCGGAGAAAAGAAGACTAGAAGCGACTGCCTCACTGACCAGTGATCTAGAGGTTGGCAGTGGTTGGGGATGCAATAATCTGGTACAATTTAATGTGTCCGAAGCACAGTATTAACTGGCTGGCCGAGCTCTACCACTTGACTCTTCTCTATCGGACAGCTTCGGGATCCTTTTGCACCAGCAAGCTGCCGGCGATCTGTCTCTCTTCTATCGAGTTGTCAACGAGCTTTGCTCTTCAGAGCTCTCCTCCATGATAACGCTGCACCAAGAGCCTTCCACTTCGGCCTTACATCCTAACAGTGTCGAATTTTGTCCATAGGATGTCGGGATTGTGAAGCAATCTGCCCGAGGAATAAATATTTAGGGGGACTTGACCTGATGAGATTTTCCGAGGCTTATTGTTTGAGTTACATATATCAGTGATAAAACTCAAAGAGCATTTATGTGTCAAAGATATCGAACCTACATGATTGCTAATAATGACAACGAAACTTTTACACCAGCATACAAAATCCCTGTGCTACATGAACACCGGGATAGTAAGCATTTCTTTCTTTTGGCTGAAGACGTCAACCATTTCTGGTGGCGTGGCAGCTGAAAGGGCGGCACACAACTTCGAGGGTGCTTCTCCAAGAAAGCAAGAGTACTCCTTTGAACTCCCGTCTGCCGTTCGCCAGTCGGTCCTTTCTTTCAGCTCGCAAACACGCAGAGGATGGATGAAAGTCACTTTTTCATTCGTAAAGCATAAAAATGGAGGTTTTCAACGACTGCGAGGAGAGAAATATTCCTGAGACGTAGTGTCTCGTGTTTTGTGTTATCCAGGTTTTAATGAAAATAAAGTTCAGAAGAAGGCCGTGCAATAATGGGGGTAGGCGTATAATTCTACCTCTGAAACGATTTGCTAAGAGGTACACAGACATTATAGCTCAACTCAACTCAAAAGCACTTTTTTCATTGAAATCAGGTTCGAGAGTATATACGAGTATTTGTGACGATGACACTATATACAAATACAATCTTGGCACTGCATGTTTTTGCGATAAATATGTATACAGGGTGTTAGGGAAATAATATTGGTAACTTAAAGAGGTGGTTACTTCCATTATCCTAGGCAAAAAAGTGCATGTCCTATGTCCGAAAATCAACCGTTTCGAAGCAAAAAAATGCTGAATTTATTTCTTTTCAGTCATGAAATAAATTAATTTTGCAACTTAATAGTTTAGATTCATATGCCTAATAGCGTTAAAATGTATCAATACATCTATTTATTAACTGACTGTCTCTAACAAAATAATTTTCTTGCTTATTAAATACAATATTCCGAAGAAAAACAGACAAACAAAATCCCTCGCACAACTGGCAACGTCGTACTCCGCCTGCACTGTGTGTATTATCGCGTGTTGTTGTGATTACTAATACATTTAACTGTAACTTATGTGATTTACGGATGTTGTTTTATTTTTCTTTTTTCGTGCATCGCATCGTTTCAAATAAGTGACTGACAATCATGGGAACTGGTGGTGCGTATCGCCACGTACCCGCAGGTTCTGTCATTTTTTTTAAGTAAATGTACTGTATTGAAGGCGTTATTAAATAAAAAACATTAGCCACAAAAAATTGCTTAAAAGTATTCAATAATTCAAGGCATATTTTCAAGAAAAAATATCATACAGACGTAAACAATTCGATGAATCTGTTGCGGTCGCCGTGCGCTCGTATCGCGGTTGCGTTGCAGCGTTGCCAAATGTTTCAGAAAATTTAATTATTTACGACTCACTTTCCTCGAAAACGATTGATTTTCGGACATAAGTTATAATGAATTTTTTTGCTCAGAATAATGCCAGGAATCACCTCTTAAAGTTACGAATATTATTTTCCTAACAGCCTGTATTTGTAGTAGATATATATTTTGCACAAAAAAGATTCTGTTTGGTAGAAATTCGTTAAGCCTTTATGTCTCATATTCCAAAAGCAGGTTGGTGAATATCGGCCACGTTTTGTCTATCGGCAAATTCATATCAAACTCTAGATGCTATTTTTTTATGGAAAACAGCAAAAAATAAGATTATAAAAAGAACCAAAAGACACAAGTTAACCTAACTATCAATTCTAAAGCATGCATTGTATAAATAACACATTGAACGTCTAATTCTATAACATCTCCATTATTTGGATTTGCCATAATGGTATTTACTCAAGACTTGACCTGAACTCAGGAACATAAGGAAAAACAGTTCGGCAGGTCTCAGTTAAGCCGAATATTTCCCCATCAAGGTTATGTCAGAGCGCAGAACGATGAAAATCAGCTAGCTCTAGGCCTGAAAATACGAAAAGCACGAGGGTGGCTACACACGTACCAAAGATTTGAGATTTCCTTTTTGTGTTCTGAAAACTGCTTGATCAGACCCTAGTCCTTTATTATAAGTACAGCTTGTTTTTGCTGACGCAGAGGTTCTACTTCTCTACAATGAGAAGACTGTCGAACAAAGGCAGTAGTACTTTTACGAGTTCGTTGGTTCCCAGCGATATCAACGATGTTTATACCATAGGGAAGCAAACCAGTAACAAACCCATAATCCTGAAACTTGTGTCATACCTAAAGAAAAAAGAAATCCTTAGGAACTGCAAAAAATTAAAAGGTACAAACATCGCTATTGGTGTTGAACTCACTCCTGAAGAGCAAAAGGAACAAAAAATTTTGCGTCAGCAACTCAAGAAAGCAAGGAAACAAAATCAAAATGCATTTATAAAAAACAGAAAGCTAGTCGTGAATGGTACAGAATTTACAGCCCACGAACTGATTGCTGATGAAGAAAGTTCAGACGAGGAAGAAGAAATTGAAACAGGTCTTCAAGAAGGGTTCACTGTAGGTCAGAAAGCTGGTGCAGATATTAATACACCACATGAAGTTGCTGAAGATCAAGCTAAAGGTAAGGAGGAACAAGATGTCTTTATAACAGAAATAGTTAAGAGTACAAGCAAAAGGAAGATAACTCAAAGTGCAGAGCCAGCCGCTAAGCAGTTAAGACCTAGGATCAACAGTAATCCTACATCGAGCAAAAATAAAGACTCCAAACAAAACTGAGAGTGTATGGATGAAATCGAATCGAGTGTTTTTGGTGGTGCTGTGTGGATTTTTTTTTTTTAATCTCCTATAATATTTATCATTTCCTTGTACGCCATATTACTTTTTAACTCTTTTTAGTACATTATATTGTGTTATTTTGAAATTGTTCAACGTAATGTCTCTCATCTTTTGTCATCTAAACATCAGGTCCCTCACAGCCAAATACGCTTATTTTAAAGATGCATTTTTCAACAAGTATGATATCATAACACTATCGGAAACCTGGTTAAATAACAACATTCCTGATGATATCATCAGTCTCGAAGGGTATACACTGTATAGAGGTGATCGTCACCACAGGAGAGGTGGAGGTATAGCTTTATATGTCAAAAATCACCTTAAAAGCAAAGTTATAAATAATATTGAGTATCATGATACTGAGCAACTATGGATCACCGTAAGCTTTAACCAGAAAAATTTTGCTGTAGGATCTTTATACCGACCCCCAGATTACCCCGTGAACCAATTTATAGATAATTTGGAAGTAACGTTGTCCACACTTGCTCCTAATCATGATTATATCTTATGTGCAGGAGACCTAAACATCGACCTTTTGGATGACAATTTTTGTAGTAGACAGCTACTAAACCTGGTAGACGTTTTGAATTTGAAGCAGATAGTTGAACAACCCACTAGATGTACACCTAAGTCCTCAAAGTTGCTAGATGTTATTATCTGCACAGATGAACTAAACATCTCGGCTATCGATGCATTAGACTGCTCTATGATATCTGATCATGCCCTAGTTTCATGTGAGGTTACACTTTCAAAGAATACTTTTGTACCTTTTCTTTACACATATAGAGACTTTAAACATTTTAATTATGAGCTTTTTACAAATCACCTGAATAATGTTGACATGAGTCCAATATATCTGCTTAAGGATATAGATATGAAAGTGAATTATCTGAATGAACTACTGTTAAATATTTTCGATTTCCATGCTCCTATCAGAACAGTCCGCATATCTAGAAAAAGGTCACCTTGGCTTACCTATAATTTGAAACAAATGATGAAACTAAGAGATAAGGCACTAAGAAAGTATCATCGTACAAAGAATCACAATGATTGGTTAGGCTATAATACACTAAAGAACAAAATTAACCACGCGATTAACAAAGAAAAGCAAGTATATTTTGAGCAACAAGTTGCATTAAATAAAAACCGCATGTGGAAAGAACTCGGAAAATTGAATATAGTTAATAAAAAACAGAATTCACTACCTCAACACCTAGGAACTGCAAACCAAATCAACAACTTCTTCATGCAATCCATCTCGGGTGATAATAATGAACCTGATCAGTACACTCTTCGATTCTTCTCCGATACGCAACTCCCTCATGAAGCATTTGAGTTTTCGTACACTAATGACAATGAAGTATATCAAAAATTGCTTTCAGTGAAATCAACAGCCGTTGGTGCCGACGGTATAAGTATCAGCATGCTGCTGTACAGCTGCCCTACAATTTTACCATATCTCACGCATATTTTTAATTACTGTCTAAAATTCAATGTAATACCCAAAATTTGGAAGCTTGCACAAGTAATTCCCATACCAAAAAAGAGCAACCCTGAAGATGTGGGCGACCTTCGACCCATCAGCATCCTATGTACTCCATCAAAGGTCTTTGAAGTGATTTTGGATGCTAGAATGAGGGACTTTGTTGCTAAAAATGACATTCTTCCAGAAAACCAATCAGGGTTCAGATCAGGTCACAGCTGCACAACAGCCTTGCTCAAAGTAACAGATGATATCCGCAAATACATTGATGATGGCAACCTATGCATCTTAATCTTATTAGATTTTTCGAAGGCTTTTGATAAGCTAAACCATGATCTACTGATTGCTGTTCTTCACTACTTGGGTTTTTCTAAAAGTGCGGTTCATTTATTAAGAAATTATCTCAAAGATCGGGCACAAGTTGTCAAATGCTTTGGTGAAACATCCGAATTGTCTAAAGTTTGTCGAGGTGTACCTCAAGGATCTGTTGTAGGTCCACTCTTGTACACTCTGTATACCTCTCAGCTGCACAAAAGTTTTAAACACGTCTCATATCACTATTACGCCGATGACACTCAATTATATATTGCTTTTAATGAATCAGATATAAACCGAACTTTAAGTAACATAAATGAGGACCTTCAGGTTCTTTATCAGCTAACAAAAAAATATTGTCTCTCCGTCAACGCCACTAAATCTAAGGCTCTACTATTTGGTAAAAACAAGAATCGTGAACTATACTCCAATAATTTAGACATTTATTTCGGACAAGACAAAATAACTTTTACAAACTCCGCTAAAAATTTAGGGGTTATTATGGATACAGATCTACGCTTTTCCCAGCATGTCTCTCTTATAACCAAAAGGGCATTTTCATCATTGAAACTGCTATACAATAGCAGAAGCATAATAACCAAGACAACAAAAATAATATTGTGCGAGTCTTTAGTTCTTTCTCACCTCAGCTATGCAGACTGCGCGTACGGCCCGTCATTGCTACATCGAGATAAGGCGCGCCTTCAGCGTATTCAAAATTCTTGTGTCAGGTTTGTTAGTGGTATTAGAAGGCGGCAGCCGATATCTCTTCATTTAAAGAACTTAGGTTGGCTCAATATAGAGAAAAGAAGGTTCCTTCATCGATCCGTACTATACCACAAGATACTCAATACTGAATCACCATCCTATCTTTACAAGAAGATCAAGACCCGTACAGAAGTGCATAGTCGTAACACGAGGTTTAAACATCATCTCTCACTACCTAAATTTAAAACTTCAAATTATAAGTGCTCTTTTTCATATGACATTGTTAAGGTTTACAACTCGCTGCCTGATAGAATTAAAGCCCTATCAATTTTGAGATTTAAGCGAGAAGTGAAGACTATGTTGAGACTTGAGATGACTTAAATTTAACACTGCACGCTGATTTGCCTATTATTCTTCTGTATGTCTTTTTCGTACTATTCGTCATTTATTTGTCTGGGCGGTCCGTAGGACCTTTGCCCATTACTCGCTGTCTGATGTACGTTATTCGAATCTGTCAGTCCTGGTTGCCCAGAAACCAGACAAAGTCAAGGAGTCTTTTTTGATCTTTGACATTTTCCCTTCATAAGATATTAGCTACAACTTCTAGCAATCTCATTCAAGCATCAACTCGTTTTATATTATAGGTTTTACCAAGGTGCCTGCAACAGTTATATGTCATCTATGGATGTATAATATAATATATAGTTTTAAAACATAATATGTCTATATGTATCTGTGTTAACGTTCAAATTTTCTCTTGCTGTTATTATTATTACTGATATACTACTTTATTTGTATTTTTTTTTTGGTTAGGTGGAAGAGCGCGGATTGACAACTAATGGTTGTCAATCAAGCGAACCTTGCCGTTTGCTCACTGCATTAAATTTATGTACTTTTTCTTTTTCTGTACTTACATGAGCAATAAAAGCAATTTATTATTATTATTATTATTATTATTATTTAACTCAACGGAGATGTACCAAAAATGAGAACATCCTTATAATAAATATAACCACACACATACACCAGTCATAAAAATGTCGCTGTTGCACTTCTTCGCCGGGTTGCAGACATTGCACATTTTTCCGATTTTAAGGATGTGAAAGTTCTCGATTTAAAATTATCAACGCAAGACTTTGGGTACATGGTAACTGGGCTGCAATCTGCCTAGCACTTGTACTAGGATCACCAAATCAATCACTTACAGTTTCTCTTAAAGGGTGTACTGGACACACTGGCCTTTAGGTCCGGGAAGTTTGGCAATTCCATATTGCCGAAGTCTTAGAAATGAACGCGTAAAAACCTTTGGGGTAGGTTGTCTGTTAAGAAATCTACGTTGATACTCCCTAGAAGCCGCTAAAGCATTTCCGTTACAGAACCCGTACACAAAAATAATATCGACGTACTCATCATTGCTAAATTCCATTCCATAAGACTCAAAAATGGGAAAAAGAAACTTTTGACTTTATTTTCAAACTTCAACACCCCGTATCGTTTTAATGAAGTCCTCGAGGAAAAAATTTTACACAGAAGACACCCCTCAAAATGCGGGCCTGTGTATGAGGTTTTATTTTTAGTCACGACTTGTGAATCACCCTGTATAGCATCACCTTCCACGGGATGAAACTAACTAAACAGACAACTGACAAAAAACCATACGGTGTACTTGTTTAACAAAACACCAAAAAGTTCCATTTGTGCGGGAAACCAGAGTCCGAACAGTGGCGTACTTCATAATGTGGATTATTTTGTACAGAGTTGGTTAGCTTGAGACATGTTTTTCCGTAGCTTCAACTTAAATCTTAAAAGATTCATTAAACATGTTTACGGTTTTCCAAATTGGTAGGTTGACCAAAAAATGATTTGATAACCAAAAAGTGAGTCAGTAATCAAGAAATAGAGAGCTTCACAATGATGAATGCATCAGGGAGTAAATCATAACCAAACATACCTTTCATAAGAGGATACGGTTGTTTTGTTTCCAGATTAAAATACGCATTTGTGGTGTTTGTTTTTTTCTGCTATGTATACTGCCATGGCATTCAGTTTTCATCCACAAAGGTAAAGATTTGCTAACGTTGTTTAATTAAAAGCAAACAATAAACTGACCCGCAGCAGCCTGTTATATTATGATACTCGTATTATGATATTATATCCGTGTTCCGAGATATTTCAAACAAAAGCTCAGTTATTTAATGAAAACACATTTTGTATTTGAATATCGTTTTGTTTGAAGTCATTAATTTGTGATTACAGTCAGGTATCGTAACATGCGCATTTGATTTATAAATGAAAAATCATTTCCCGGTATTGATAACTATTCCAGAGACAATAATGATGATAAACGATACCGTGAACAGATTGTTAGTGAAATATGTCGCTTTATTGTGTAAACGAAATAGAACCATTTGCTCTACTTTTTACTCTGTCTCCTTTAGAACTGTAGGTTGTATCAACAGAATTTAATTTTGATAAACTTGTTAGAGTGTATGATGTTTTTATGTATTGTTACAAAATATCACTTTCAGAAAGATGAAAAGCTGGAGAGCTATCAGTATACTTTTTAGAATTCCCACAATATTGTCTGCGTCTTTTGAAGAGAGCGTCGACAATAATTGTCGTCAAAAAAGCACTTCATCAGTCCACAAAAAAAAACAGGGAAACATCGCAACTAAATAAGATAAAATAGTCCGATACAATTTACAAGCAAACGGTTGAAGGTTTGAAAATTCCAAAGAGTGTTTGCAAGATTTTCAGCACTTTTGCCATCACAGAACGTAGTATCCAGTCTTTTAAAATATTGTCCTGCTTAGTTTCAACTAGTGGGCAACAGTCGAAACAATGTCCATCTCCTCGCTCATATTTACTATGAGAGTTTGTACCCTAGTTATTTGCTATGGCAGTTACTCTACTGAATGGCAAATAGAATAGTGTTTCCCTGAGAAAACATATATTTAGAAAGTACTGCGTCGTTGTGGTAGACTTCATTCAGTTTTTGACATAGGACAATTATCGGCAATTCTGTTATTTACAGATAATTCCCAATTACTGCATTTATTTAACCTGAAATGAGTGTGGTGGTAGTAGTAGTTAGTAGTAGACATTTATTTACTCCATTATTTAGGAACAATAGCAACATAGAATGGGTAAAATAAATGTTTCAATCCATCGAAGGGTAATGCCTGTACATGGATCAGTCGTACGTTGAAATGTGTTCCAAAATCGCAACAAAAAAAGAAACTTAAAGAAAAACTTGTATCAAAGAGATGTATAGGTAGAGAGTGATAATTTTTAAGAAACATTTAATAAGAATTCAATAATGTGTTGTGTTCCTATTGCGCGTATCCATTCTGATAGTTTCTTTTTAAAATTATGTGTATTTCCAAATTGTTTTAAGTCTTTGGGTATGTGTTCATACAACTTTGGAGCCAAATAGAGATTTATATGGCGTATCCTGGCGATGTGTGATTTTATCGCGCTCACTAACAACTTTGTGATAATGCTATGTAAAAAATAAAGTTGCATGATATCAAATACAAACATAATTTTCACAACAGTTCTCTGTAAAACTTCTATGTCGCTTAAGTACACTAGATATGTTCTACCCCATGCTAATACACCATACCTTAGATGCGGCTCAATTACGGCATGATATTATAGTACGCATATAAGTTTCTGTCAATATGAGGAATTCAATTTTGTATGTTATAAATCTTATTTTTAAAAATGTAGGTTGCATGAATGCTCCACGTTAAACATTGGTCTAAAAAACAATATTTGATATTGCTCTGTCAATTTTCAAATTTGTATCTCTTATTCTGAAGGAAATGCGTTTTTCCAAAGTTCACTGTTAATTTTCTAGTGTTGAAAAAATGAATGTCATGAAAGTCATTCTCAATTATTCTCCTTACATCGTACCAGTCTTGCCCTTTATAATTGTGGTATAGTATTGCCGCATCATCAGCATAACTAACTATTTTACCTACACAGTCAATATTAAATATATCATTCAAAAAGGTATTAAATAAAAGAGGGACTAACACTGTGCCCTGAAATACACCACGTTTGGCAAGCATTTCCTTATTGTATGATTTTGATAGTTTCACTGCATGGGGCTTTTTTGATAAATAACGTTGCACCAAAGAATATATTTTTCCACGAAGACATAATTTGTCTAAAGTATTTAACCGTAAACTGTGATTAACTGTATCGGATGC